TAAGCCGATTTTACCATTACATTCCTAAGCTTTTCCAGACCTAAACCCTGGGCCTCACAATAACAAACAAATAAAAATAATCTATAGATATAGAATTAAACAAAATGACAAATAATTATTTGTACAGATCTGAACTTCTAAACCTTCGCCACAATCCAGCCTTACAGTATACACATTCTTATTACTACAAGTCACGATTTTTTTTAGAGAAAAAAAAAAAACCAGACATACCCTTCTTGTTAGCTGTAAGCACCTAAAACCACTTAATCAAGGGCTAGTAATTGCTCAATCTCCTTTTGACTCCCTAATCGTGCTTCTTCCAGTAATATGTTAAAATTTCCAATATTCATTTCTAATAAAATATTAGCAGATAAATGGCAAGTAGTCAGTAGATTATGGGTACCGCATATGTAATAAAGATTATAAACACGATGGGTAATCCTCAATGCATTCTTATAACTTCGATAGGTAAATCGATCCTTCATTTCTCTTTTAACTTCTTCGTCCCAATTATGCATTGCTAATCTTTCTCCCAACTGATAGTAATGCTAGAGCAGGTAGCACGATCTAACCGACAGAGTTGGATCCGAATACAAAGATAATCCATCTGTTGGTTCCAACTTGTACCTTCAACCTTACAGAGTTCTTTCGCAGGGTCACCGATTCGGTGAAGATCTTCAATAAAAAGAGGCATACGAGTTTCTAACAAATCATCATTAATTTCTGGTGCTAAATTAATAGGAACCTGGTCTCCTTGCCTATCAAGAAATTCAATAGTACTATCAGTAATACGGGGAGATTTTATAGAAGACTCTTTAATATACTTCTGAAGACGAAGGAGGAGTTTTAAAATAGGCGTGGTCACTTGAAAAGGTTCCATATTTAAGAGAACAAAGGTTAATTCAGATCGTATTTATATGTTTAAGAGCTCCTTTCTACAGGAGGCTCTACATATCGTTTTAACCGATTTCCATGCACAGCCTTTTTAAGAACTTTTTCTGTTTTACCAAGCTGGCCCCTTGTTATTCCACTTATCATTCGTAGTTTATATGTACCATTGCCACAAACATCATACACATAATATGGACCCGTAAATTTTAATTCTAATTTTGCACTATAAGACATCAATAAAGAGGATCATTCTAATAATACCTTATCACCAATTGAATAGCTTTCTATCCGATGGCTTTGGTCATGATATGCTTTTTGTTTATCTTGAGTCTTCATAATATTATTTTTAGCCTAGAGGCGTGATTCAGTTAATTTCCCTAACAAACTTTCTATCCGTCACAATAATTGGTCCTGTAACTCTTCTTCAGTAATTGCTTCATGTGGATATGTTGTAATTACAGTTTCTATGGGTAACAAAGCATCTCTGCCATATACAAGGAAAAAAGGATCATAATGGGTCGTAGAATGCTGATTTGTTCGATAAGCGAAAAGGGCCGCAGGTACGTAATCTTCTCAATCACCATTAAACTGCTCTATACACTTAGCTAAAACTTCAACAACATTCGATTAAAATGCTCAACCAATCCATTCGTTTAAGGATGATAAGCTGTTGATTTTGAACGGCAAACGTTCATCTTGGAACACAATACATCCACAATTTTATTACAAAAATGAGTTTTTTGATCTGAAAGCAACTCACGTGGACTCCTGTAACGACAAATAATATCTTTGAACAGAAAAGCTGCTACTGTTTCAGCATCAGCACATTTAATAGCACGCGCCTCAGGCCATCGAGTTAAGAATCCAGTCGCTACAACTATATACCGATATTCTTTCGTAGTAACAGGAAGAGGTCCAACGATATTGATATCTATTCGATCAAAGGGTTGTCCAATTCGAATAGGTAAAGAGGTTCTCTAGTAACAGGTTTTCACCTTCTTTGATATGAGTCACATGACTTAACATAATCCCGAATATCATTTCCCATCTGTAGCCAAAAATATCGAGTAATAACTTGCTGGTACGTTGCCTCTTTATTGAAATGCCCCACTAAGGGATCCGAATGCATTGCATATAATACGGGTTCAACTTCTTGTGGCTTCAATATTCGTAATGGTCTGAGAGGGTTCTAGGAGTTCTTCTTATATAACAGTCCTTCCTGGGCGAGATAATGATGTGTTTTATGCTTCAAAATTCTAATCTGGGCACTAGTATAACTAGAAGGTACTGTAGACTCGCTAAGGTACCTTAAAAATAAGTAATATGTATCTAAATCCATAAAGTTTTGTTAATCAAAATTTTGGGTAATCTGAAATCAATATTGTCAAAGTTCAAATAGGAGTAAAAATAAAAAAAAAAAAAACGATTGTCTTAAATTCATAAAAGACTATCGGCATTAAGATGTATTTTTCCGAATCTGTAGATGGTAGTAAATCTATACTCCTGCAAGGTCAGGATCCACCTGGCCAGTCGATTCTGAGGTAGCTGATGAGAAAATAATGATTTCAACGCAGAATGATCTGTATAAAGTGTAAAAAGAACTCCGTGAAGATAAGGTCTAAAATATGAAACAGCCCAAATGACGGCAAGATACTCTTTTTCTGTTACAGAATAATTTTTTTCTGCTGGGATCAAAGAGCGACTTGCATAAGCGGTCACTCTTTCTTTTCTGTCATCATCCAATTGAGAAAGAATAGCGCCTAGCACTAAGTCTGACGCATTCGTAAAAAGGATAAAAGGTTTTAAAAAATTCAGGTATGCTAAAACTGGAGCCGTGATAAGTTTTTCTTTCAATTCCTCAAAAGCTTCTTGATGCATTGATGTCCAATGATATCCAACATTCTTTTGTAGTAACGAATTTAATAGAACTGCGATTCTTGTAAATTCAGAGATAAATCGTCAATAGTAAGACACTAATTCTAAAAATCTACGTAACTGCCTTAAATTTCGAGAAACAGGAAATTCTTAAACAGCTCAAATCTTTTCTGGGTTGGTTGATATTCCTTGTGTGCTTACAACATACCCTAAAAATTTCAATTCTTTATGGGCGAAATAACACTTTTGGGGCTTAATTTTTAAACCTGCCTGCTTCAATCGTAGAAATACTTCTTTCAAGTGATCTAAGTATTCTTCAAATAATCTAGAAAAAATGTTAAGATCGTCAAGATACACGACAACAAATCTTCCACTTATGTTACTGAAGATTTGATCCATTAACCTCTGGAACATAGCCAGGGCATTCATAAGTCCAAACGGCATAACATTGAACTCGTAAAGTCTGTATGGTGAAATAAACGTAGTCTTTTCTTTATTATCTTCGAACATCTCGACCTGCCAATATCCACTGGCTAAGTCTAACAACGTGAACCAAGATGATCTATTCAAAGTATCCAAAAGTTTATCAACTCAGGGTAATAGATAATTGTCTCTGACAGTTACGGCAGTCAATTTTCTATAATCGATGCAAAATCGCATCTTTTGGTTTCGCTGCTTAACCAATACAACTGGTGACGCCCACGGGCTAGTAGATGGTCGAATAATCTGCTCATCCAACATACTATTAATTTCTTCCTTGAGAAATCGCTTTTCTGCAAGAGAATATCAATATGATTGTTGACGAATCGGCCATACATCTTGGGTAGGAATATAATGCCGAATTATATCAGTCCAGCCCAACTCAGAGATATCTTGAGCACAAAGATCAGGATTTTCTCTAAGTAACTCCAACAACTGCTTTCTTTGGTTGTCTTCTACTTCCCCTATATTATATTTAATATTGGAGCAGCTTCCTTTTTCATAGTAATAATCAAATAGGTCCGATATAGATCGGTTGTCTTCCTCTTGCGCTGAAATAAGACCTGCAACAGGTCCTTTATCGTATAATATTATTTCTTCATTCATTCGTCTAATATCTCTTTCTTCTATCATAATTTCATCCTATTTTGAGTCTAGCCTTTTTCGAACATTCCCTCTTTCATCGTTAAATTCCAAGATTGCATACAGTTGCTCTTCTAATTCTTCATATTCGACTTTCTCATCTTCTTCTTCAACTTCGTCATTATCATCGGTTCCAAAGTCTCTTATTCTTACAACTCGTTCCTTGTCTAACGGCACCTTGGCTAATTTTTGAAACTCAACTAGAACAACAATTTCTTTATCATCCCAGACCAAAGTCATCTCAGACCTGTTTCAATCATGGCTGCCTTAACCTTAGCTAACCAGTCATTTTCTACAATAGCACAATACGAACTGGCATTGGTTATAACTACATTAATCGGGATTTCAACACCACTGATATTGGATAGAAAATCAAAAATTTCTCCAATAGCACACTTACTCTCTCTATGGATGTTGACCATATTCAATACTGATGGCCGTTCAATTCTTATACCAAGATCATTCAATAAATGGAAAGTAACAACACTTTCAAAAAACCCGCTATTGACAATTAATGGAATTACTCGGTCGTAAACCTTAGCGTCACAATATAAAGCTATTGATTTTAAGGTAGGTTGTATATTAACATTGGCTTGAGTCTTTTTACAACTTACGACTCTTTTCTTTTGTAAGGATCATAATAATTCTTGTCTCATGGATGATATAACTTGTAACAATTGCCCAATAGTTATATTGGCAGGTTTATCCCTTATATCGGCTACTATCGAATATGGTGTGACCAAAGAAGAGATTTGGGGTAAATCATCCTCCACAATATTCCTTCGTCAAATAACAGGAACCTTCTTTTGACCCACTTTTACATCTTCTTTCTTTTTATTTATTTTAGGCGGTTCAACCTTCTTTACTTCAAGTAGTTCGACAGATTCTTCTTGGTTTTGATATTGATTTTGAGTAACCAGGTCTTGTAATTCTTGACCTTCATGATCTTCATAAACTTCTTCCATTTCTACGTCTGGATCTTTAGTACTCTCTCCTTCTTCAAGATCGATTACATAGTTGTTTTTGTTCCAGTTAACTTTTTTCTAAGAATCGGCGTATTTACTATAGGCTTGGGACGAATAGGCCTTTCTGCTTGTAAAAATAATGACTCATCTTTGGGAATTCCTAAATACGAAGTTTGATCCCTGGCATTATTGAAAATGCCTGGATTATTATTCATTAATGCCAATAGGGCTTGCAGAGTTTCTTGAGGGTCATTTCCGTTAAGAGTAGAATTATTATTATTATTAATACCGGAATTATTATTATTATTAACTACAGGCGGCTGATTATTAGCTGAAGAGTTACGATTATTAGGTAGATCAGGACAATTTCGACTATAATGTCCAGTATGGCTACAAGTAAAACACATTACAGTAGATGGGGTAAAATTTTCAGACCGAGATCTAGATGGTGGCCTTTGCTGATCTTGAAGTTGAGTTATAAGCTTATCAATTGAATTCGTTAAAGTTTTCAAAGCCTTAGCCATTTTATTTGAACTAGTGAGATTAAGGTTTGGGGTTTCAGGGAAACTATAAGGAGAATGAAATACTGTTGGAGTTGCATAAGCAGTTTGAACAGAATTCTGTTTATAAGCATTCTCAAATGCCTTTGCTCTGGTATATACCTCTTCTAATGAATTAGGGATTAGAGGCGATATGGCTATAAACAATTCAGGATGAAGTCCATTAATAAACATTTGTGCTTTAGCTGTATTAGAGTACTGATGCCTGCCTGACTCTACTTGTCGAAGCATTTCTTTAATTGCTGTGTGGTATTCATCCACGCTTTCAGCTAGCAACTGTTTCCTTTGGGTTAACTGCGCAAACCATTTCTCTTCCAACTCAGGGGTCCTGAATTTGTTTATGAAATAAGTAGTGAAACTCTATTGAGGTACCAGAGGGTTACACTATTGATCAATTATAGGGAGCTGATTTCTTCTCGTAATCCACCAAGTTGCAGCAGAGCCTTTAAACATCAGAACAATCACAGAAATCTTCTGAAGTGGTGATATAAGATTGGCATCGAAGGCTTTATCAACATTTTCAAGCCAAGTTATAGGATCTTGATCTCTTCTATGAAATTCAGGGTAAGGTATAGTATTAAGTTCCCGAGGATTAGCAGGAACATTAACTTGCGGTGGTGGTGTAG